ATGGGGGTGCACGGGGATGTGGTATATTGGGGTACACAGGGACAGGGGTGCACAGGGAGGTGTATATTGGGGTATACAGGGATGAGGGTGCATGGGGATGTGGTATATTGGGGTACATAGGGACCAGGAGATGTGGTATACTGGGGTACACAGGGATGGGGGTGCACGGGGAGGTGGTATATTGGGGTACACAGGGATGGGGGTGCACGGGGACCAGGGCATGTGGTATATTGGGGTACACAGGGACAGGGGTGCACGGGGAGGTGGTATATTGGGGTACACAGGGACAGGGGTGCACGGGGACCACAGTATGTGGTATATCGGGGTACACACGTGGGGATGGATTATCGGGGTGCAGTTTATCAGGGTGCGGAGGGACCCTCGGATCTGGGGGGCCCCCGGGGGGGTGGGTTCTCCTCCAGAAAACACCCATTTTTGGGGCAAAGAAGAGAAATTCTGCATTTCAAAGAGCCTTTAGCACCTTGGAATAACGGGGGAACAGCCCCGCTCTGCGGTATATTGGGGTACACAGGGACAGGGGTGCACGGGGAGGTGGTATATTGGGGTACACAGGGACAGGGGTGCACGGGGACCACAGTATGTGGTATATCGGGGTACACACGTGGGGATGGATTATCGGGGTGCAGTTTATCAGGGTGCGGAGGGACCCTCGGATCTGGGGGGCCCCCGGGGGGGTGGGTTCTCCTCCAGAAAACACCCATTTTTGGGGCAAAGAAGAGAAATTCTGCATTTCAAAGAGCCTTTAGCACCTTGGAATAACAGGGGGGACAGCCCCGCTCTGCCCCCAGGGTGCGAGATTTGGGGTAAAACCCGGCTAAATCCGGTCCTTGAACACCTTGAATTTCGCGACGCTGAACCTCAGGATAAAAAACCCCAATCAACCAACAAACCAACCCAAACGAGAGGTTGTTAAAATTCATTTAATTTGGGAAGAAAAGGAGCCGTTTCGTTATCGGTCCTTCGGAAAAAAATACCGGAGTCGCCAGAAACAGTCGTTTCACACCAAAAAAAACAACAAACCCCAGCAGATTCCCTCCCCCAGAGATAAAAAATTCCTCTTTTCCCTCCCAAGGCCGGCAGTAAAAAAATACAATAATAAAAAAAAAAGTATATTATCGTAAAAAACCACAGGGTTGTTCTCACTCCCTGGTGATAAACGGGTGGAATTCTCACGTTTTATGGAAAATTAGGGTTTTTTTGGGGCGGTTTATAAGGAAAGGGGGGGACAAGGCGACTCCCTTTAACTCACAAGATCTTCATTATCTCAGGGCTTATTTTTTTTTAAAAAGGGGGTAAAAAAAATCCTAACTGCTAAAACCAACCCTCCACGCTCCCAAAAAAGCTCATTTTGCAGAATTTACAAGATTTTCCCCCATCCCTTGATATAAAAAGTTTTTTGGCAAATAACGACCAGCCCCTTCTTTGAAACAACTCCAAGGGTTGGGATTTTTTTCCCCAAAAAAGGTTCATCCCCAAAAGTGAGGATTGAAGAAATCTGGGGGTTTGTAGGGCCTTGAAGGCACGTGCTGGTTCTTAAAACTCCCAAAATGAGAGGAAACCAGCCCAAAAAAAAGCTGCTGGGAGCTGAAAAAATAACTGGAAAAGGCAAAGGCAGAGCGAGGTTGTATGGAAGGGACGGGGGATTTCAGAGACCTCCGCGAGGAGGGAACGCTGATTTTGTTCAAAAATAATAATAAAAGACCTTATTTACTGAAATCAGCAAGTTAAACATGGTTTTCTCCGTCCCTCCCACCCCCTGTTAACGAGCGAACCTCGTTAACACCGACAGGGATTAACAAAAATCCATGGTTTTCTTATCATACGTAATAAAATGAACCAAAAATGAGTCTAAAGTTGGCTTTTCTGGTGTCCTCCTTGGATCTTGAAGTTCGCCAAATCGCTGGATCTTTCCCAAAAGCTCTGGCTTCCCCCGGCGGGGGGGGCGGGTCCTGCCCACGGGGGGGTCACAGCCCAGTCCTGGCACCAGTTAAACCCAGTTGAGGGGCGACGGCACCGACGGAGGCGGGAGAGAGAACCAAAAAAAGGCTTTTTGAGGAGGATCCGTTGAGGTGAGGAGGAGGAAGGAGAAACCCTCTCCAAAAAAGGCTTTTTGAGGAGGATCCGTTGAGGAGGTGGAAGGAGAAACCCTCTCCATCCGTCCGTCCTTCCACACATGGGAGCGTTTTGACGATGATTTGGGGCAAGATCTTCAAATTTGCAGAGGAATTACAAAAAAACTTCTCCTCAGCCCAAGAAGTGGAGCTTAAATCATCCCCTTCTGGATAAGTCAGGGAGGGAAGGGTGGTGCCTCGCGCCGGAGGAGCAGCCTTTAGTCCCCAAAAATCCACAGGACGTTGACTCCCGATAAACCCAGATTGACACGTCTGCAAAAAGTTGTCGTAAGAAATGGGAAGGAAATGAAAATGTCTGTTTTTTAAAACATTAAATGAAAAACCATCAATTTCTCTCCAGGGATGGGGCAGCCACAGCTTCTCTGGGCAACCTGGGCCAGGCTCTCACCACCCTCAGGTTGAAGAATTTCCTCCCAAGATCTCACCTAAATCTCCTCTTTTTCAGCTTAAAACCCTTCCCCCTCCTCCTATGGCTCCCCTCCCTCATCGAGTCCCTCCCCATCTCTCCTGGAGCCCCTTGAGGGACTGGAAGGGGCTCCAAGGTCTCCCCGGAGCCTTCTCCTCTCCAGGCTGAATCCCCCCAACTCTCTCAGCCCCCCCCTCCCAGCAGAGGGGCTCCAGCCCTCCCAGCATCTCCGTGGCCTCCTCTGGCCCCATCCAAGAGGTCACTCAATTTGGTGTCTCCTCCCACTGGAGACTGCCACCTGAAACACCTTCAGAGAAGGTGCTCTGAAAACCAGGACACTCCATGGTCCCTTCCAACTCTAAAATTCAGTGAAATTCAGTGAAATCCATTCACATCCCGTAGGACGACGCGTTATCGGCGGCCACTCACCCCAACATCCCGGATTCTTTCGTCTTGATGATGTACAGAAACATAAGCAAGGTGTGGAACATGTTGTTTCTGCCCTGAATCCACCAAAAAAAAAAAAGGAAAAGAACTTAGAAATGATGTCATTGATGAAAAATCACAGCAATATGATATATATGATATATATATATATGATATAATATAGGCTGCCCAGGGAAGTGGTTGAGGCACCATCCCTGGAGGTGTTCAAAAGACGGGTTGACATGGTCCTCAGGAATATGCTTTAGTGTTTTGGTTGACATGGTCCTCAAAAATATGCTTTAGTGTTTTGGGTTTTTTATTGCTTTTTTCTTATTTATTTTTTTGTCAGAGTTAGGTTGATGGTTGGACTAGATGATCTTTAAGGTCCCTTCCAATCTAGACGATTCTATGAATATTTCAGGTAGAATAAGTGACCATAGAAAAAACCATCATGAAATGTCACTCCGGGGAGGTTTGTTGGGCTTTCTGTCTTAATTCTTTAGGGTTTTGTTTTTTTTTTCAATCAGGTAAATACCAGAAAAAGACCAGACGTGGGTTTTGGCTGGATTATCATCTCCAAATACTTTAAATGCTGGAGCTTTTCGGAAAGCAGAGAGATCCAGCACCAGCCAGGGATCAACACAAAATGAAAATCCACAGGAGAATTTCACTATTTGGTGAAATTTGGAAGTTTCCTCCCAAAATTCTTACAGACAAGCATGGGGCAGGGGTCTTAAGGAGTGACAAAGCAGGTGACGTGGTGTTTTAAGAGAAACTGTCCAAAAATAAACAAGAGGAAGCTACTACCTAGGGATTTATGTAACTTAAATAGACACTAAACCTATTATTTAGTAGCAGAGTAAGTACCATGTCGAAGACAGAGCTAATGTTTACTTCCTGTGGATAAACAGTCAATAAAAGTGGCCAATTCCTGAAAAAAATACCCCAAAATGAGAGGTGTCAGTGATTTCCTGGCAGCAGGAGAACCCTCCCACCACCACCCCCACCGTACCTTGGGCAGGTTGTAGACGTGGCGCTGGTAGATGAGCTCGTAGTGGGGCGGGTTGATGCTGCTCTGGTAGATGCAAAACACGTTTTCATTCGAAGTGTCTGCAAATGAAAAGTTTAAAAGATGAGGAGGGGGGAGGATTTCAAGGGTGACCCCCCTCCAGGTGAGCCAAGAGGAGCTAAAGGCGAGCGCCGGTACCTGGTTTATCCGGTGTCTGAATGAAGTGTTGGGAAGTGAAGGTTTTGCCATCGGGATACTTGGGGTGAGGGGGCAGCCTGGAGTCGAGGTAGGTGCAGAAGACGTGCATGATGATCTGGGCAAAGAAAGACCAATCTCCCATTAAAATACACCAGAATAGTCCTTAAAAATACACCAGAATTCGGCCAGGTCAAAGATGGAGGGGGGAGTCACAGAATCGAGAAGATCAAGTGCACCCTCCGTAAGTTTGCAGATGACACCAAGTTGGGTGGGAGTGTCAACCAGGGTAGAAAGGGTTTGCAAAGGGATCTGGACAGGCTGGATGGATGGGCTGCCCAGGGAAGTTGTGGATGCCCCATCCCTGGAGGGGTTCAAGGCCAGGCTGGATGTGGCCTTGAGCAACCTGCTCTAGTGGGAGGTGTCCCTGCCCAGGGCAGGGGGGTTGGAACTAGATGATCTTTGAGGTCCCTTCCAACCCAAACCATTCTATGATTCTATGACCAACGGGATGAGGTTCAACAAGGCCAAGTGCCAAGTCCTGCACTTGGATCACACCAACCCTCTGCAGCGCTACAGGCTGGGGGCAGAGTGGCTGGAGCTGCCTGGGGGTGTTGGTGGTCACCTGTTGGCTGAATGTCAGCCAGCAGTGTGCCCAGGTGGCCAAGAAGGCCAACAGCATCCTGGTCTGTGTCAGGAACAGCGTGGCCAGCAGGACTGGGGCAGTGACTCTCCCCCTGTACTGGGCACTGGTGAGGCCCCACCTCAAGGGCTGGGTCCAGTTTTGGGCCCCTCACCACAAAGAAAGACATTGAGGTGCTGGAGCTTGTCCAGAGAAGGTCAACAGAGCTGGTGAGGAGGCTGGAGCACGAGTCTTGTGAGGAGCAGCTGAGGGAGCTGGGGGTGTTCAGCCTGGAGAAAAGGAGGCTGAGGGGAGACCTTCTTGCTCTCTGCAATTCCCTGAAAGGAAGGTGTAGCCAGGGAGGGTCAGTCTCTTCTCCCAAGGAACAGGTGATGGGACAAGAGGAAACAGCCTCAAGTTGCACCAGGGGAGGTTTAGGATGGATATTTGGAAAAATGTTTCCACTGAAAGGGTTATTAAGCATTGGAATGGGCTGCCCAGGGCAGTGGTGGAGTCACCATCCCTGGAGGTATTCAAAAGCCAGGTAGACATAGTGCTTAGAGACATAGTTTGGTGATGGTTTTTTGTCAGAGTTGGGTTGATGGTTGGACAGGATGATGTTAAAGGTCCCTTCCAACCTGGACAATTCTATGATTCCATCTTATCGAGCGTATTTGGGCCGTGAACTCCAAAATCATCTGTTCTAGCAATGGGTTCTGTACGAGCTGCGAGGGTTTGGCCAAGAAGGGCAGACTGAAATCAAATTACGGCTTCGCCGACCTATCGAGTAAATTTCTCCTTTCTCCTCACCAAAGGCAAAATAAAAACCACTGGAAAAGCCATGAGTCTTAATAAAAATGCCAAAATTTTGAAATAAAGTCCTAGGATAAGTATCCAGAAAATCACACCCCAACCTGCTGGGTGTGTTTTAATCCCTCCTGGAGAGTCACTGTCTTGAGTAAGTTAATGTCAACCCTTCATGGCAAGGATTTATTTTAATCTCTTGTATTTTAATTTCTTTCCCAGAATTCTTAAAAAGTTTAGCATCCTGTCCAACACCACCTCTCCCAGCGGGTTTTGATAAAAGGCTGAATTCCAGGATGAGTTATTCTCGTCTC